GTCGCGCACCTTGCTTGATCCCACTGTCGCGTCGGGATACTTCTTCCGCAGGAGTCCCGTCCGATTCTGCGAGAGCACATGGATGTGCTCTCGCAGAATCTTGCAACTCTGCTCGTTGAAGCGTTCCTGCTTCGTCTTGCCACTGAGAGTATCATCACTCTCAGTGGGGCTTCCAGCGAAGAGTTGGCCCAGCTCCTTTGTTTCACTTGTCATTCTTTCGCAGTCCGAAAGAATGCATAGCTGTTCGATGCGTCCATCGTACAGGTCCTTTGCGAAGCGCTTCCAGCTCATGACTGGAAGCGAGATCAACTCCGACGTATCAGTCGGAGGGTTCTCCAACTCCATCTTCTCGAACTGGTATCCAGTACAGGCCTGCGTCAAGACATTCAACGTCTCGACGGCCACTGTTGGTTCTTGTGTCTGCCCGGCAGACATACCGTGAAGAGTCTCGGTCCTGGACCGAGACTTGCGCAGCGTCTTGTGCTTGCGCCGTCGCTTCTTCTTGTGAATCCCGGATTCACTTGCGTTTCGTCCAGGCCCGTCCATGGACGAATGTTCCTTGATACCACCGGCAGACATTCCAGTCTGCGGGCGATCGCCGACGGGTTCTTGTACCCGCAGGCACGCGTCATCAAGCCCGGCTTGATCGCGCCCTGCTTCGTGCAGCCCGGCTGCACGAAAGCACGCAAGCTTCAGTGCTGGACGTTTGCAACCGTCCACACAGCTTGTCGCATCGACTCCCGGAGTCTATGCATTGTCGTCTCCTCTACGCCTTAACGCGGAGCAGTGTGTCGCAACTCCCGGAGTTGACACACCGTTGCCACCTCAACGCCTCACGGCGGAGAACTCTCTCGATTTTGATATCGAGCGGGTGTCAACTCCCGGAGTCGACACGCTGTTGTCACCTCGACGCCTTACGGCGGAGACTTTCTTCGTAGTGTCTGGTCCCTGACCAGACACTCCGGGAGTCGTAACAGCCCACGCGCTCCACGCGCTACGACCGGAGACAGTTGCTCGCGCAACTGTCTCTGAAGGAGGTTCGGATGCACCGTTAGGTGTATCCGCTGTGCTAACACTGCCATCGCTCTCTGTTGCACCGCGGCGTCCGAAGCGTACGACCCTACGCTTCTCCCAGTCGATAATAGGATTATGCCGTGCAAGCCACGGCATGCCCAACGCCATGTCGAA